TGAATAATCTTTTTTCTACGTGAAGGTAAATCAAGAAATGAAAGAAGAAATTCTTCTCGTGATAAAATATCTGATCGATTCATATTATGAAGATGACCAAAATAATGAAGCATTTCCGATATTGAAAATTCTTTATAAAGTGCTGTATCTTGTGGCATATAACCAACAGCTCGTCCAGGAACTTGATGACCTCGACTACCAGGTCTATGACCAAGTACAATAGCTTCACCACGATTTAATTGTAAACGACCAACAATACATCTTAATAATGTTGTTTTTCCACATCCAGATGGACCTAATAGACCATATCTAAATTTATATTTATTTGTTTATCTTAATAAAATATTTTCAAACAAAAATAACTAACATAACTCCTGTTGGTACATGAAGAGTAACATTATTTAAAGCTGTCATAGATTTCCACCAATGACCATAATTTTTCCATGCACCTTCAACACATACAGCCAGATCTCTTGAGACATTCTTTAAGAAAAAAAATATTGTTTTTTAAATAATTAATCAAAATAGAAGATTACTTGAGATTGATTTGTGAGTAAAGCTTGGTTACCGGTATCGGTATTTGATAATTGATTCAGTTCATCTGACATCTCCTTTTTTTTGTTTTCTTCAGCAGATAAGATTTTTTTTTCTATCTGACATAAATCTCGGCACTAGTACACTTCGTCGCACGACACTTCGTCGCATTCGCTTCGTCACATTCACTTCGTCGCGTTCTGTTCGTCGCAGAATTTTTTTCGTTCTGTTCGTTTCTGTCTACTTGCTGCATCGCTCTTAATCAATTCTTTTTTTTTAATAACCAATGGAAATAACATAAAATAAATGAAAAAAATTACAAGAGATATGTACAATAGAGCGAGATGATTAATTGGAAAAACGGATCAACAAAAAAAAAAAATACTATTCCAATACAATCGTGATAGAGCTAAAGGGAGCGATGAATAATTAAATTTGTTACTTGGCTAATGAATTTCAGCATAATCTAAACTAAAGATAACACTGATCCAATATCCTTAATTATGGGACCAAGTCAGATGAAAAAAAGAAACATTTCACTTCTCAATTTCAATTTTCACAGTACACTATTTTTCAAGCAAAATGTCTCAAATCGAGAAACTCCTTTCTGTAAAAGGAAAACCAATGATGCTTCATGATGGTTATATCTATACTGTAGAACGTACAACAACGACGAAATTATTTCTTCGGTGCCAGAATCGAGATTGTAAAGGTAAGGTCACATTGAACATCAATTAATTAATTCAAATGAAAATCATTTATCAATTAAGCTCGTTGTCATACTAATTTATCAATGGATGCAATTATCTCCCAACCAACAACCCATTCCCATGCTCCACAACCTGATCGTGTCCCAGCTATTCAATTAAAAAATGATATTAAAGCTCGTGCTGTGATAACAGATGAACCAACCAGTTCAATTATTTTTTTTTTTTTTTTTTTTTTTTATTATGCAGTATAGCTGTGATCTATCAGATCCTTGCAGCACAATATAGATGTAAAGTAAGCTGGAAGTGGAGAGCGTAACAAGTAACAAGAGATAACGAGAAGTACAAAAAAAAAAAAGAAAACAGAGAAAGAAAAATAAAATAAAATAATGATCAAGAGAAAATAACAAATGCACAAGAATAAAGAGAGAAAAAAAACAGAAAAAGAGAACGAGAAAGAAACATAAACAGTTCACCATCTAATAAAGCCCATACAAAGTAAAAGAAAGAAGAAAAGTAAAAAAAAAGGGTGTGGAACACACAGTATGATCAAGCATTAACTATAGGTCGAAACCAACACAACACTGCAGGTGGACTGATTAACATCAACGTGCGTGGGTTAGGAGGAGCTACGTAGGGGAATGTTAGGGGGAAGTTGAGCTGGACATGAGGTTAGAACGTTTCCGGAAAATCTTGGAGAAGTTGAACTTCTTCCATTTCGAAGAAGGGTATGGAGGAAGAGTTAGGGGTTGACCTAAGCCAGGAGGTGATTTTTTCAATTATTGCTATGTGATCGCAAAATCGTTTAGAGCGTCTGAGGCCTTTTAGGGGGAACTCATTCTGCAACCAGGCCTTTCTAAATTGGTTTTGGTTCGATTTCTCAAGTAAGAGTTCGCCGTCAGTAGAGTCGACCAACGCTATCAGATATTTTTCCCAATATAGAAAACAGCGATCTTCCAAGGACTTCTCATTTAACGCGTACGCAAAAAAATTTTCATTCCAATGCAGGGCGAACATGACTCTTCGCAGGCAAGTGTAGTAAAAATGGGATAGGTCGTTTCTTTGCTTGTCAGTGAGGAGTGGGAACAGAGGGTAA